TCTGGCACCCCGCGGGCCGATTCTGGATCCTGGGCGGCGGTCAACCTTGAACGGTCGCGCTGCCGTCGTTTGCCCCGACGTCGGCGCCGACGTCGTTTGCCCCGACGTCGTCGTCGTTGTGGACGTCGACGGAAGAACGATAACATCGGCGTTGGCGGAATAACAGAAGGGGGCGTCGACGTCCACTTCGACGACGACGTCGGGGCCAGCGACGTCGACGCCCCTCCCCCCTCCTTTTATCTCCTCCACCCCCTGCTCATCCTACCCGTGCGTGCGCGGTGACAGTGGCCTCATGCTCACGAACCGCATCGCGGCGACAGCGCCGCCGCTTAGTCTTGTATATATGGATTCAATTTGACGTTTTCCACCCGTCGGGAGACTGCGTGCCGCACGCTGCGGAAACATATCATACCGTTTACATACACACACATATATATATACATATATATATATGCACATGTACATATGTGTATAATTCTATATGTATAAATACATATATGTGTAACTTCTTGAAACATGTGTTGTATATATATACATATATATAGTATGACTACCATATACAAGCACGTATGCACATACACGTGTGTGTGCGTGTATATTACATGTTCGTGCATTTGAGATATACATACATACATATACACACATACATGCGCATGTATGTGTGGATATATACCTATACACCTCTATGTAGATACGTATGTATGTATTGAATTGTATGTGGCTTCAAGGGCCCACTCGTTCGGCGGTTGTTGCCTCCGGACTCACAGACTCGAGTTCCTCGATCCCCGGCTTCCGACGACGGCCCAAGCTTTCGTGGGCTGCCTCGAGCAAGTACCGGACCTCTGGGTACGTCTCCATGCCAACGGCGAAGTCCGATATCTGCTTGATCACCGAGGCCCACGGGTCCGAAACGAGCAATTCTACCCGGAGGCCCCCCCGCGGCACCGCCGCTTGGCGGTCTGAGGGCCCCCCCGCGGTCGAGCGGGCGTCGGCGCGATCGCACGGGGTTCTTTCTTGCAGAAATTCTCGGAACCGCCCCGGCGGATTCGTATTTGGAAGGGTCGGGCCGCCAAGTTGCGCCTGCGAGGTCCGCTCGTCGCCCTGGGCGTCGCGGCGGTGCGCGCGCGCGAGGGCCACCGCCGCGAGCTTGGCGAGTGCGACATGGAGGGTGCCCCGTCCTCTCGTCGCCCTGCTGCGCATTCGTACTTCGACTTCCGTTCTTTGCTACGGTCAAGGGTCAGCTCTCCCCTGGCCCCCCCTGAGGAGGGCCTCGCGATTTTGGGATGGGGCTTCAATTGGGCCACAGCCGCTTTGGACAGGGTGGCGGTCGGCACCATAGAGCGCGCCGGCCGCTTGGGCGCGCGGGGCGAGAGTCATTTCAAGACGCTCATTGGCGATCCGCACGGCTTGGCGGACACGCGCCAAGGCGAGCCCGCCCTCGCTTCGGCTGCGGAGAGGTCTCGTCTCGACCGGATTCACGCCAATTACCACTTAGCGGACCGATTGGGCAGGCGCGTCCGATGCGCTGCCCTGGAGCGGCGGCGCGACCCGTCGCGCCGACGCGCGGTCTTGTTTTCGCCGGGCGCGACGGCGGCGACCAATGTCGGCCCCCCCCGACCCTTGCCCTGGCCGACCCGGCGTTCCTCCGCAGAGCGGCGCTGGAGTGCCAAGAGGCCTGCAAAGATTGGCCGGATGCCTTGGCGCCGGAGCGGCCGCGATCGCTCACAGCCGCGCTGCGCCTGGTCGCCCTCAGGATCGAGGCGGAGCGCTCTGCCCCTGCGCCCGCCGCCCGCGCGGAGGATCGGCTGGGGCGCGCGATGAAGTTCATTCGCGCGGCGGAGGCTGGGCGCCTCTACGAGATCTGCCCGCTTCGAGGGCTGCCCGCCCACCGGGGGGCGGCGGGCAACCCGCGCGCCATCGAAGCGGACGTGGCGCAGCGGCTTCGCGGATCACGGCTCCACGCAGTGCAACTTGCCTGGGTGCATGCCATCGAGGAGTCGGGGCGGCCCCGCGCCGACCGCGAGTTTGGATGGCGCTCGTTCGGGCCAGGCCCGTCAATGGGACGCTCGTCTCATTTATCGACCGGCCCCCGGTCGCGCCGGCGGCATCTCGGCCGCGGAGCTGCCCGGCGGAGAAGCAGCGACGCATCTGGGCTCGAAGGCCAGCGCCCTGCGTTCACCTCCTTCAAGGCCAAGGGCGTCGACCATCACCTCCTCCGCCAGTGGGTGGCCGAAGACGAGGACTCGCGCCCGCTGTCGGACTCAGCGCCGCTCGACGCGCCCAGGTTCAGGCTTCGTCGTTCTCGCGTTCGCACGGCCGTTGGGCAGTCCAGCATCTCTTCGCCTGGCCCCGACGGGTTCCCGTTCCAGGCCTGGCGCGTCACCGTGCGGCTGTCTGCCACGATCCTGTTCGAGCGTCTTCCAGGCTCTCCTGGGGGGCGACGGAGCCGACCTCATGGGGCGGTGCGCCGACGACTTCAACGCGAGTTGGTTGTTCTTCCTGCCCAACATGGCGTCGGGGGCGGGCTGCCGTTCGCTGTCGCGGCGGACCTGTTGCTGCGCAGGCTGGCCCGGGCCGTCGCGCCGGGCGCGTTGCGCGCCCATGCCGACGACGCCGCGTTCGTCGACCCGCCCCTATGCAGCGCCTCGGCCTGCTGGAACGCGTTTTCTCTGAGTGTGCTCGCGCGTCTGGCCTGGGACTCAACGTTCACAAGACAGTTATTGTTCCGTTCGGCCAGCTCTCCCACGAAAAAGTCCGAGGACATATTCGGCGGGGTGTTCCGCTCTGGGGGGCGCTGGAAATTTCAGATGTTGCCAAGTGTATTGGCGTCTACGTTGGCCCTGGCCGCGGGCTCAAATCTTGGGAGCCCCCCTTCAAGAAGATGGAAGACCGGGCGGCGGTGCGCGGGCAGCTTGGGGCCGGCATGATGCACGCCATCGAGGTCCACCGCGCGTTCGTCGCTTCAGTCACCGCCTTCGTCGCGCAGCCTGACCCCCTCCCCGACGGTTTCACGGCAGTCGGAAAAACGTGTTTTGCGAAAGCTCTTCCCGGGCCCGTGTGATTGGATGCCCGGCGACGCGCTGCGGGCCCTCGCGACATTCGGATTCCCCCGGAATTTCCCATGCGCCCAGACCATTGCCACCGTCGCGAAGGTGCGGGTGACTTCGCGCGAGGCCGACAGCAGCGGTGGACTTCGCGGGCTGCCGCGCGCGACGGCCCACCGGGAGACGATGCGCGACCTTGACGGCGCGCGGCGGTTGGGCGCCCGCCGGGCTTGGGCCGCGTTGTCATTTTTATTATTATTGGAGGCCGCCGTGCTCTCGTTCACAGCATCGGAGGATTCCGCGAGATTGCTGCACCACCCGTCCGCCGAGGAGCCCCGCAGGGAAGGGTAGCAGGCGCGCGCCCTTCGGGCAACGCAGCCGACCTGCGCCGCTGCCGCCGAACGGGCCTTCGGCGACAGCTTGACAAGACCATTGGCGGCTCGTTGCGTTGCCGGGGCGCCGATGCCAGAGGCTATTAAGGGCCCTCGGCAGCATCGAGGCGCTGGCGCCGCCCCGGCTGTTGGCCGCGGCATTGCGATCCAACCTGAACGGCTGGATGACGGCACGGAGGTTCCTGCGGCGTGGTAAATGCGTGCTCGGCTGCGCACGCGCCGACGATTCGCTCCAGCATTGCGCTAAATGCCCGCTCTATCATGAGCTGTGTCGGCAGCAGTTTCGACTGGAACGCCCTGACTCGGCCGTGGCCCTCGGCGATGTCTTCCTCATTGCTTCGGCTTCGCGTCAAGTGCGCATCGACGAGCCTCCGGTTGGCGGTGCCGTTGCCTCGGCGCTCCGAGCCCTGAGCGTGCATGCGTTGTACCGCACCCATACTGCCAGCAATTCGCTTGGGACTGGCCCCCGGTGTGGCCTTTTCCGCGGCTGCGTCCGCGAAGGGGCCCGGGGTCATGACAAAGCCATGTCTTTGCTCAGCGCAGTGCGCAAACGCCGACGCCAAGATTGACCTCTCCTCCTTCTCCGGGGTGGGGTGGGTCTCGGGGTCTGTCGGGTCCTGGGGTGTTTTTGGGTGTTTTTGTGTCGGTTTGTCGGTTTCTCTCTGTGTCCCTCTCCCCCTCCTTGCAGTTCGTGTAATTGTTATGTCGCCTGCTAGGGCACCTGGTGCTGTTTTCCTCTCCTCGCGTTCTCGCGGCTGGGGCCCGATTCGGCGGCCGCGCAGGGGAACTGCGGTGCTCGTTTTGAGATCAGATTCGGGTGTATTAGTCGGTGTTTGCACTGCTAGCAACAGCCCGTTTTCTGCACATAATTTCGGCCACGTTCGCAGGACACACGTCCTGTTGATGACGGTGGCTTCTTTCTTTGGGCAACCACGCGCTTCGCTATGATACACATTCGGGCCATGTTTGTATCATACGGTTCTCCCACTCTTCGCTCGTCCTCCTCCTTTCCTCCTCCTCCTCCTCCTCCTCCTCCTCCTCCTCCTCCTCCTCCTCCTCCTCCTCCTCCTCCTCCTCCTCCTCCTCCTCCTCCTCCTCCTCCTCCCAGTGGTGTCCGCTAGCTGCTGCTCTCGCAAGGGAGGCCACGATTTGTCCGCCCTGGCCGGCGCCTGCGGTAGGCAGGATTTACCGTTTGTTTTTGGACGTACCAGTTTATCCTCGGGTTTAGGGCGGGCGCCCGAGTTTGTCTCCTCTTCTTCTCCTTCTCCTCCTCCTCGTTTCTGGTCGCTGGTTTCGTGTTGGCTCCGTTTGTGCGGGAATTGCCTTGGCTCGTCCTGCTCTTGCCGCCTCCTTCTCCTCCTCTCGCCGCTCGTGATATCCTCCCCCCTCTCGGGGCCGAGCGCCCCCTGCGCCCCTCCGCCGCGCCCCCCCCCGCCACAGGGCTGAATGTGCCCCAGCCGCGCCCGCGCGCGCATCGGCGACTCGAGAGCGCGAGGATGCTCGCACATCGCGGGGCGCGAGGGCGCGACCTTGGGTAATCTGGGCACCCTGGGCTTGCCGACAGGCGGAGCTGTCGGAGCTGTTGAAGACGCGCGACGCGCAGGAGCGGAAGCGCGCGCAGCTGGCCGAGGTGCAGCTCGAGCGCGCCGCGCAGGCCGGCCGGCCGAAGCACGCCCCCGTCCAACTCCCAAGGAAGGGAGGCAATGTCAGATGAGTCAGATACAGCCGATTCGTCGTCGTCGTTGTCGCCATCGCCGTCGTCGCCATCGTTCTTGTCGCCATAGTCGTCTTCGTCGTCGTCGTCGTCGTGATTTCCGAGGTGTGTGTGTGTGTGTGTGTGGGGGGGGGGGGGGGGGAGGAAAGTTTCCGAAGGTTCCAGGGGGTTCGGGCGATGTTCGCCCTGGTTCGGCGTCGGGGAGGGGGACCCTCGCCGCCGTGGGCGGATGCTTTTTCAAGCGGATGCGGTCGGGAAGGTTTGGGTACCGTGTCGTTCCGCGGGTTCTGGCCCACCGCGCTGCGGCGCGACACGCTATCCACTTCGATTCCCGAGGCGTCAACGTTCTCAGCTTTCCCGAGCCTCCCGACCCGCGGAGCGCAGCGACACGCTATGCACTCGCAGTGCATAGCATGGTGTCGCCAGGGCCGCCGCCGCGACACGCTAAGCAGCAGTTTCTGGCCGTAGGCTCAGGTGTCTGCACGGTCGAAGTGAGTACGGAAAGGATGGGGACGAAAGCTGACAGCAGGTCCTGTCCGTTTTGAGCTGGATTCTCTGTCGGCGTCGCCACGGACGGTGCCCACTCGATACGGAGAGGCGCTTGCCCAGCAGCGGACGCTGTCGGTGTTGGACTACATGCACAGTTGGGCGTCGTACCTTTTTTGTACGTGCCCATTTCGGGCATGCTGCCGGCGGTTCAGGGAGCCTCCCCGGAGGCCCCCAGTGTACCCTCTCTCGAGGCCCAGGGTCCCAGGGGGCTTTAACTCTGCGTGGGTTCACCATCGGGGGCCGATCGCCGATCTATCGGAGATGTATCGCCGATTCCAGGTCGATACTTCTCTCCCTGAGCCAGCCACCCCCGTAAAGTTTCCCCTCACGGAAGGGAGAGGATGGCAGTCCAGATCTCAGACGATATGTGTGTTTTGTTCATTCTGTGCGTTTTCCCTCGGTTTCGGAATATTGGGGCCGTTATCGGGCCTCGGGGCCATCATATTGGATCCAGGACAAAAAATTGCCAATGGGGAGGGGTGTGTCGGGACCTCTGGGGCCGCGGATTGAAGAAATCACATCGTCGGATATCTTGGGTGGGGGTCGAGGGAGGTTTGTCGTGCTTTCCAGTAGCAGTTGCGCCTCGCAGAGACAGTTCCGTGGAGGCCGGAATATTCCCCAACGGCCGCTTGATCGCGAATTGCCCCGCGATGCGCAACGCGCAATTCTTTTCGCGCCCTCGCGCCCTCGCGCTCGCACCCTCTGGAGAAGGGCAGCCGCTCTGGCCCAGACCGCGGTGCGCGGAGCGCGATTACAGTCAACCCGCAGAGTGAGGATGGGCAACCTTCCCAAGGGTACCCCTGCATCCTTGCCTCCTCGGCCCATCCCTGGCCACTTTCGTTGGCCGCGCCCCGTTCGAGAAGCTTCGGAATGGGCGTCCAAGGCCCTTGCATCTGTATCGCGCATCCTTCTGATACGGGTCGACTGTATCTTCGCGCCCCCGCGGGAGACCCAGCCCCCACAGGGGCGACGCGCCGAGAGATCCTCTTAGTATAAGCTCCGTGGCGGGTGCTTTCTGGCCATACCGTTCGGGCAACGATATGCCATAAGAAAGTGGTGCTCTATGTTTCGGGTCGGTTGCGCGCCTCCTAGGAGGACGCGTCGTACTAGTATGTCCCTCTGCGTCTGACCTGAGGCTCTGGCCATGGACCCAAAGCCAGCCGAAGGGAATCGAGTCAGAGGGGTGGTTCGCCGCCCAGTCGGTCGCAGCGGCCCCGCCCATCAGCAAGCGGGCTCGGGCCATGTGCTTTCCTCTCCCTTGGGACGCCCCCCCAAGAGGATGGAGGAGGGCACGTCGTCTCGTTTTCGCCGCTGCGCTCACAGGCTCACGCGGAGCTCCCAGGCACCTTGTGTCGCTCGCAGGCTATTCGAATACTGCTCCGCCACACTGCTGTGCAACTTGTTCTGATATTGTGGGGCTGTTCTCGACTTCGAAGGCGTTCAGAAAGACTGCCGGTAGCCTCCGGGCTTCCTGAGGCCTCCCAAAGGCGTCTGGACGACGTCCTCATCGTCGTCGTCGTTCGTCCTTGTCGTGGCCGTGGTGGTCGTCGATGATCGATGACGCACATCTGCGCCGTCGCCCCAAGTTGTGGGCACCGCCGCCATAAGTTGGTAACGGTACCACGGTACCGAGGGGGGCGGCAGGGATTGTAAACCCCGCTAACCCTGACGTCACCGTGACCTTCCCCCTCTTGGGTAACAGACGTTTGCTTGGGACGAAGATGTGGGAAGATGCGGGAGGGGGGGGAGGGAGGGGGAAGGGAGGAGGGAGGAAGGAGGAGGAAGGTGGAGGGGGGAGGGAAGGGAGGGGGGAGGAGGGGGGGGAGATGAATGGAGGAGGAGGGACCCAGGGAGGCAGGATGGAGGAGGAGAGAGGAGTAGGGAGGGAGGTGGTGGGGAGGGCTGCGGCTGCCCAACTCAGGAGCGCGACGCGGCGCTGGAGCGCGCCGCGGAGGCGGAGCGCTCCCTGCAGGACAGCCGGCGCGTGCTCCCGCTGCTCCTCTCCGGCGGCCCCTGCGCCACCGCTCGATAGCCGCCCAGTGGGCCCCCGTCTAGGTGCTCGACGTGCACCCGCCGTCTGGTCTCACAGAAAAACAGATGAAGCCACGTCCTGACGGCGCAGTGGCGTACAGACAACCCGCATAGCAAGGATGAGCGACCTTCCAAGGTTGCACTTGCATCCTTCCCCTTCGGCCCATCCTTGGCCGCTTTCGCTGGCCGCGCCTCGCTTGCAAAGTGTCGGCATGGCCTTCCAAGGCCCTTGCATCCTTATCGTGAGTCCTCAGTATGCGGGTTGACTTTGCAGACTGAAGCTGCGGATCCACACGCATGCCAGCACATGCATGACAAACAACACACATTGCTGCACAGTGCCTCGGGAAGCAGTCGTTGCAGCCGTCGTCTCCAACGAAGTGCGAGGGGTCGCGAAGATAAGAAACACGCGTAAGCGTGAGCTCTCGGAGGTCCACGCGGATTTCTAGGATCGGCGTTGGGACCCCCGTGACGACGTCACCGGCGCCGCCCCTGGCGCGCTCCGCGCGCCACGGCGGGGATCCAGCGCCGATGCAAGAAATCCGAGCGGACGTTCGAGACATTACGTATATTGTACCGTTTTGGGGGCCTCGGCCAAGGAGACGATTCGCCCACCATCGGTCTGCCGCCTCCTCCCTCCCCCTCAAAGTCCACACTCGAGGGAATGAGCACGTGGACCATGACCAAGATGCCGCGGGATCTTGTCGATACCAATTTCGGTCATGGTCCATGTCGGCCGTTGACGACTCGCAAGGATGATCCACGAATGAGTACTGACGCTGACCAAGATCGACGGTGACCAAGACCGACACGACGTTTCCGTGTCAGCTTTGGTCATGCCCCGCATTCTTCCCCTCCACGCATCCTTGAGATGGACCTCATCCTGCGCCCATTTCCACGACTCCAGCTCCCATTTCCACGACTCAAGCGCCCGTTCCCACCTCTTCGACTCCAGCTCCGACCCGACTCCAGCCTCTCAGCGGCCAGTTCATCCTTTACCGGCGCCCCGGCGCCCACCCGCTGCACCTGCATAGCCGTTGGAGGTTTTTAGTTTTGACCCCCTCCCTCCTCATCCGGCGGTGAGTAGGACTGGTACTAAAACCTCCTTCTCCTCCTCCCCCATCTCTCCCTTCTCCTTCTCCTCCTGCTCCTCCTCCGCTTGCTCCTCTTCCTCTTCGTCCTTCCCCCGCTCCTCCCCGTGTCATTCCTGAGGAGGAGGAGGAGAGGAGGAGGAGGAGGAGCAGGAGGAGCAGGAGGAGGAAAGGGGAAGGCGGAGGAGAGCCTGGTAAGGCGGCAGTTGTAGTTGTAGTAGTAGTCGTAGTCGTCGGAGTAGTCGGAGTAGTCGGAGTAGTAGTAGTAGTAGTAGTAGTAGTAGTAGTAGTAGTAGTAGTAGTAGTAGTAGTAGTAGTAGTAGCAGTAGTAGTAGTAGCAGCAGTAGTAGTAGTAGTAGTAGTCGTCGTCGTCGTCGTAGTAATAGTAGTAGTCGTAGTAGTAGTAGTAATAGTAGTAGTAGTCGTAGTAGTAGTAGTAGTAGTAGTAGTAGTAGTAGTGGTAGTAGTAGTAGTAGTAGTAGTAGTAGTAGTAGTAGTTGTAGTAGTAGTAGTAGTTGTCGTAGTAGTTGTTGTAGTAATAGGAGTAGTAGCAGAAATTGCAGTATTGATATTAGTCGTAGTAGTAGTAGTAGTAGTAGTAGTAGTAGTAGTAGTAGTAGTAGGAATCGGAGGAGAAGGAGGAGGAGGAGGAGGAGAGGTAGTAGTCGTAGTATTACTAGGAAGAGTAGCAGGATTCGCAGGTGTAGTAGTAGTAGTCGTCGTCGTCGTCTTCGTAGTAGTAGTAGTAGTAGTAGTCGTCGTCGTCGTAGTAGTAGTAGTAGTAGTAGTAGTAGTAGTAGTAGTAATAGTAGTAGTAGTAGTAGTAGTAGTAGTAGTAGTAGAAGTAGTAGTAGTAGTAGTAGTAGGAGTAGTATCAGTAGCAGTAGTCGTAGTTGGTGTTAAAGCGATTGTAGTAGTAGTAGTAGAAGTAGTAGTAGTAAGTAGTAGTCGTAGTAGTAGGTAGTAGTACAGTAGTAGCAGTAGTAGTAGTAGTAAGTAGTAGTAGTAGTGTAGTAGTAGTAGTAGTAGTAGTACTAGTCGTAGTAGTAGTAGTAGTAGTAGTAGTAGTAGTAGTAGTAGTAGTAGTAGTATTAATAGTAGTAATAGTAGTAGCCGTAGTCGTAGTAGTAGAAGTAGTAGAAGTAGTAGTAGTAGTAGTAGTAGTAGTAGTAGTAGTAGTAGTAGTAGTAGTAGCAGCATCCGTATCAGCATAAGTCTACGTATACGTCTAAGTATAAGTATAAGTGGTTGTAACAGTAGAAATAGAACTCAGAGAGAGGGGCTCGAACGGTCATTCATTGTCCCTGGGTGCTTGGCTGAAGTGGCGACCCGTGGTGAGGATTCTGCTTGTTTCGTTATTGTTGTTGTTGTTGTTGAACATTATTACTTCTAAAGAATAATTATTGTTGGGGCCCCTGGTGCACGACCCCCCCGCCGCGCCTAGGCCGCAGCCTCATTTTCATCATTTTCGTGAGGAAGTCTCAGGCAAAACGGGTTGGTCCGGATCCGGTTGTGTTGTTACGATCGGTTTTCCCTTGCAAAAAATAAGCTAAAGTGGACATTTCTTGTTCTAACATAACCAAACTTCAAGAATCCCTTGCAAAACATAAGGTAAAGTGGACATTCGCGCGCGCAAGACGAAATCCTTCCAAAACCTTAGTGTTCGTAGCGATTTTAACATAAAAACATCAAAAAAACAATGGTTTTTCAACAAAAAAATGTCAAAATCTCATCCCGCGCGCTCTTGCGGATTCGTAGGAAACCCAACACTTTTTAAACATTTCTGTCAAACGGGCTTTTGCGAGCAACTTTTTCGAACTTCTGCAACAACGGTTGCGCACCTGCCAGGGCCATCATCCCTGTCAAATAATACCATGCGGGACACATTCGTTTTTTCTTCGCGCGCGCACGCCGTCGTCGTCGGCCGCGGGGCCCTGAATAGTAGCCACGGTCGTCCGCATGCCACGAAGTGAAGTGTCCGAACGTCATAGGGCGGGAAGCTGGGTGTGGGTGGTGGCGAAGAGTCGTTTGGAAATTTGGTAGAGCTTGAACCGGCCCCCCCACAAAGTGGGGGTATTGCCCGCCTCCTATGAAAACCCTGGCACTGGTGAGAACGGTGTGTCCCCACGTGCTAGTAATTGTTGTTGTTGTTGTTGTTGTTGTTGTTGTTGTTGTTGTTGTTGGTTGTTGGTTGTTGTTGTTGTTGTTGTTGTTGGTTGTCGTCGTCCCACCCGCGACCCACTCGCGACCCACCCCGCGACCCACCCCGCGACCCACCCCGCGACCCACCCCGCCGACCCACCCCGCGACCCACCCCGCGACCCACCCGCGACCCAAGCCGCGACCCACCCGCGACCACCCCGCGACCCACCCGCGACCCACCCCGCGACCCACCCCGCGAGCCACCCCGCCACCCATCCGCGACCCAACCCGCGACCCACCCGCGACCCATTTGTGACCCACCCGCGACCCACCCCCGACCCACACCGCGACCCATATGCGACCCACCCACGACCGACCCACATTGCGTTAACGAAGAATTCGGCGCCTGCGGTGGGCTCGTTGTATGATTTGAGAAACTTTGGCGCTTGCGGCGGGCTTCTCCAGAGTTTCGCAGACCGCCGACGTTCGTAGTCGTCACTGTCCTCGTCGTTATTGCGCGGCGGGTTCTGCGGAAACACATAATCGTTACCCCTTATTGGTGGGACCCCAGTCATTCAAGAAAACCGCCGAAATTAGCTTGGCAAAGGACCCAACCATATGCAGTTGTGAATACAGCAATTTTGAATACCATTTTCGCCCGCGCTCCCTATGTGGCCCCGGCTTCTCGCCGAAACCCGACATGCTCAGGAACACGTTTGTGGCCGTCTTCGCGGGCGCCGACGACGACAAGGACGGCGTCCCTCTGACCGAGGAGCAAAAGCAGGAGAGGGGTTTGAGAGCCATGAGGGCGGAGGTGGCGTTGTACGTCGACACGACGGAGTACGACGCCCAGGCGCGGTTGTTGAAGAAGCACAACTATGGAGCCACGATCCTCGTGAGGGGTGTGCCGAAATGGCCCGAGGCCGCCGCGCGAACCCTGCCACTGGCGCCTTCGGTGGAGCTCCTTTGGGGCCACGATCCTCGTCAGGGGCGTGCCGAAATGGCCCGAGGCCGCCATGCGAACCCTGCCGCTGGCGCCTTCGGTGGAGCTCCTGTGGGGCCGCGATCCTTGTGAGGGGCGTGCCGACATGGCCCGAGGCCGCCATGCGAACCCCGCCACTGGCGCCTTCGGTGGAGCTCCCCATGGGGCCACGATCCTCGTCAGGGGCGCGCCGAAGTGGCCCGAGGCCGCCATGGGAACCCTGCCACTGGAGCCTTCGGTGGAGCTCCCTAGGGGGCCACGATCCTCGTGAGGGGTGCGCGGACATGGCCCGAGGCCGCCATGCGAACCCTGCCACTGGAGGCTTCGGTGGAGCTCCCTATGGGGCCACGATCCTCGTCAGGGGCGTGCCGAAATGGCCCGAGGCCGCCATGCGAACCCTGCCACTGGCGCCTTCGGTGGAGCTCCCTATGGGGCCACGATCCTCGTGAGGGGCGTGCCGACGTGGCCCGCGGCCGCCATGCGAACCTTGCCACTGGAGCTTTCGGCGGAGCTCCCTAGGGGGCCGCGATCCTCGGGCCGCCATGCGAACCCTGCCACTGGAGCCTTCGGTGGAGCTCCTGTGGGGCCACGATCCTCGTGAGGGGTGTGCCGAAGTGGCCCGAGGCCGCCATGCGAACCCTGCCACTGGCGCCTTCGGTGGAGCTCCCTATGGGGCCACGATCCTCGTGAGGGGCGTGCCGACGTGGCCCGAGGCCGCCATGCGAA